CAGTCCCTGTCAAACTACCAACGAATGGCATTCTTCACAGAATTAGAACAAAATTTACAATTTGTATGGAAACACAAAAGCCCCCAAATAACCAAAGCAATCTTGAGAAAGAAAAATGGAGCTGGAGGACTCAGGCTTCCCAACTTCAAACTATACTACAAAGCTACAGTAATCAAGACAGTATGGCACTGGCACAAAAACAGAAATATAGATCAATGGTACAGGATAGAAAGCCCAGAGATAAACCCGTGCACATATGGTCACCTAATTTATGACAAAGGAGGCAAGAACATACAATGGAGAAAAGACAGCCTCTTCAATAAGTGGTGCTGGGAAAACTGTATAGCTACATGTAAAAGAATGAAATTAGAACACGCCCTAATACCATACACAAAAATAAACTCAAAATGGATTAAAGACCTAAATGTAAAGCTGGACACTATAAAACTCTTAGAGGAAAACATAGGAAAAACACTCTTTGACATAAACCACAGCAAGATCTTTTTTGACCCACCTCCTAGAGTAATGAAAAAAAACAAAGAAAACAAGTGGGACCTAGTGAAACTTAAAAGCTTTTGCACAGCAAAGGAAACCATAAACAAGACAAAAGACAACCCTCAGAATGGAAGAAAATATTTGCAAACAGAGCAACGGACAAAGGATTAATCTCCAAAATATACAAACAGCTCATAGAGCTCAATATCCAAAAACAAACAACCCAATTAAAAAATGGACAGAAGACCTAAATAGACATTTCACCAAAGATGACATACAGATGGCCAAGAGCCACATGGAAAGATGCTCAGCATAACTAATTATTAGAGAGATGCAAATCAAAACTACAGTGAGGTATCACCTCACACCATTCAGAATGGCCATCATCAAAAAGTCTACAAACAATAAATGCTGGAGAAGGTGTGGAGAAAAGGGAACCCTTTTGCACTGTTGGTGGGAATGTAAATTGATACAGCCACTATGGAGAACAGTATGGAGCTTCCTTACAAAACTAAAAATAGAACTATCATATGACCCAGCAGTCCCACTACTGGGCATATACCCTACATCAATTGATATATTATTTTTCTTTTTTAGCCTGTTGATATGATAGATTACATTAATTGATTATCAGATGTTGAACCTGCCTTCCTTGTATACCTGGAATGAATCCCAGTTGGCTGTGATATGTAATTCTTTTTATACATTGTTGGATTCAGCTTGCTAATATTTTTGCATTTGTATTCATTAGAGATAATGGTCTGTAGTTTTCCTTTCTGTAATGTCTTTATCTGATTTTGGTATTAGAGTAATGCTGGCCGTGTAGAATGAGTTAGGAAGTGTTTCCTGTGCCTGTTTCTTGAACAGTGAAGGCCTTCCTGTCCTTAGAATCTTTGCATTTGCTGTCCCTGGCCTGGAAGACTCTTCTCCCAGATTTCTGCATGTTTTGTTCTCTCACTCCTTTCAGGACTTTGCTCAGATGTCCTTTTCTCAGCGAGGCATTCTCTGACCACAGACTGTTAAAATTGCAAATCTCCCCTTCCCTCATCCCTACTGTCCCCCTTCCCTGCTTTATTTTTTCCATAGCACTAATCACCTTCTAAAATACTATATGACTTACTTGCTTTCTGCTCCCACCCACTAGAATGTAGTTCTGTGAGGGCAAGTGTTTTTGTCTTTTTTTGTTCATTGCCTTATCCCTCCCTCCTCCCTAGAATGGTGTTTGGAACATGTTGGATGCTCAGATATTTGTTAAATAAACGAATTTAAACCATGACTGATAATGTGGTTGTAGCCAAGTGAATGTGCAGAAATGAGTTGTTCTGTTTCTATTCCTGAGGAAGACTGTTTCCGGGATCAGAGGAAAAGTAAATATTGTTGATAGCTTTTATGAATGAAATTTAGGAGGCATTTAACCATGTTTTGTTTATCAACTGCATGAATTTGGCTTAGTCACCTTATTTTGGTGGGCTCTGGTTTCGTAATCTTAGAGTACTTTTGTAAATTAGACTAAGGTCTTTTCTAGAGTTCTTGTTTGTTGAACTTTGTTTCCCAGTTGCAGAGTATTTTAACAAGAAGGGAGCTTAGAGACCCTTAAGTCCTATGTTCTTTAGCCAGTAGATTAACTTCTACCTGTAGAGCCAGGCTTGCCAGCTGGGGGATGCAGCCCATCGTCCTCTCGTACAGTTCCTGGATGCCTGTTTGGGAGGGGGACCTCGGAGCTAGTGCTGACTTCGTGCTGGAGAGCCAGATGAACCTGTTTTTAAATGTCTGTATGATCTCAAGCAGGTGTCATCACCTCACCAAGCTTCAATTTCCTCATCTGTGAAACTGGAATGATATACACAGGTGGTTGTTAGGGTTAAATGAGATGTTTGTGATATTTGCACACAGGTGCTCAGTTAAAGTCAGTTGAACCTGACTGCTTATCCTACCCCACACTTGCTTTGTGATCCATCTTGATTCTACATCAGAATCACTTGGAGAGTGTTTTTAAAAACCCTGATGCCCTTGAAAACGTTACGCTAAGTAAAAGAAGCCAGGCACAAAAGGTCACTTATTGTATATATATGAAATGTCCAGAATGGATAAATTCATAGAGACAGATGCAGATTGGTGGTTGCCAAGGGTTGAGGGGTTGGGGAGAATCTGCTTAATGGTAAGTGGTTTTACTTCGGAGTGATGGGAATGTTTTGGAACTGGGGTAGAGCTGGTTGCACAGTATTGTGAATGTACTACATGCCACTGGATTGCTTTCTTTTTCCCTCCCTCCCTTCCTTCCTACCTACCTACAGGTTTATTGAAGCTTATTTGTTGTTCAGTGGACTGCACATATTTAAATTGTATAATTTGATGAGATTTGGCATATATATATACCCAACCATTACCATAATAAAATGGTAAACATATCCATTACCTCCTACAATTTCTTTATGCCCCTTTTTAATTCCTCCTTTCTACTCCTCCCCACTCTCTCATCCCCAGGTAGTCTCTATTCTGCTTTCTATTATATAGATTAGTTTTCATTTTCTAGAATTTTATATAAATGGAATCATGCAGTATGCATTAGATTTTATATGGCTCCTTTTACTCAGCATACTTATTTTGAGGTTCACTTACGTTGCTGCCTATTATTAATAGTTTATACTTTTATTGTCGGAGGTATTCCATTGTATGGATACACCACAAATTATTTGTCCATTCACCTGGTGATGGACATTTGGGCAATTTTCATTTTGGGAGATTACAACTAAAGCTGCTGTGGGCGTTCATATACAAGTCTCTGTGTGGACATAAGTTATTCTTTCTCTTGAGTAAATATCTAGGAGTGGAATGGCTAGGTCACAGGGTATATGTATGCTTAAACATATCTTAACACCTAAAAAGTAAGGCATGGTCAATTTGAAATGCTACAGATATGTTTGATAAGATAGAAGAAACAACTGGATTTTTGCAATGGTTAGGTTTATGCCCCTTTTTAATTCCTCCTTTCTACTCCTCCCCACTCTCTCATCCCCAGGTAGTCTCTATTCTGCTTTCTATTATATAGATTAGTTTTCATTTTCTAGAATTTTATATAAATGGAATCATGCAGTATGCATTAGATTTTATATGGCTCCTTTTACTCAGCATACTTATTTTGAGGTTCACTTACGTTGCTGCCTATTATTAATAGTTTATACTTTTATTGTCGGAGGTATTCCATTGTATGGATACACCACAAATTATTTGTCCATTCACCTGGTGATGGACATTTGGGCAATTTTCATTTTGGGAGATTACAACTAAAGCTGCTGTGGGCGTTCATATACAAGTCTCTGTGTGGACATAAGTTATTCTTTCTCTTGAGTAAATATCTAGGAGTGGAATGGCTAGGTCACAGGGTATATGTATGCTTAAACATATCTTAACACCTAAAAAGTAAGGCATGGTCAATTTGAAATGCTACAGATATGTTTGATAAGATAGAAGAAACAACTGGATTTTTGCAATGGTTAGGTTTTTTTTTTTTTTTTTTTTGCGGTACGTGGGCCTCTCACTGCTGTGGCCTTTCCCGCTGCGGAGCACAGGCTCCAGACGCGCAGGCCCAGCTGCCATGGCTCACGGGCCCAGTTGCTCTGCGGCATGTGGGATCCTCCCAGACCGGGACACGAACCCGCGTCCCCTGCATCAGCAGGCGGACTGCCAACCACTGCGCCACCAGGGAAGCCCGGTTAGGCTATTATTAACTTGAAAACTACAGTCTCAGTTGAGTGGTAGGTGGGAAGCTTTTTAGAGGGGAATTAGGAAAACTGAATTGAGAAGTTTGGCAGGGAGTATTGATAACTTAAGAAGTTTTGCTGTGAAAAGTAGCAGAGAATGAAGTTGTGGTTTTTGGAAGGTGTGACTTATTCCTTTTGAAGTGGATAATTTTATATTATATGAATTGTACTTCAGTTATTAAAAGAAGAAGAAGAAGAATCAAGCAAACAAAATCCTGATGTTCAGGTTGCACCTCAATCAGAATCTTTGTGGGTGGGAACCGGGCATTCACTTTCTAAAAATCTCCCTTGGTGATTGCAATATGTAGCCAGTGTTCAGGAGTAGTGATCTAAATAGGGTTGGCACATTTTTTCTGTAAAGGACCAGACAATAAATATTTCAGCTTTGAAGGCCATAAGGTCTCTGTCTTTACTCCTCAAATCTGCCGTTGAAGTGTGGCAGCAGCCATGGTCAACATGTAACAAATGAGCATAGTGTATTTTCAGTAAAACTTATTTATAATAACAGGCAGTGGGCCAGAGTTTGCCAGCCTCTGGTCTAAAGGCTTGATGATAGAGAAGGGGCTGCAGAGCTCTGAGGAGGATGCAAGGTGACCTCCCAGGCAGAACCAGACCTGGAACTCTGTTCTACTGACCATTTTAGTTCTTCACATTGTGCATATGCTTACTTACTTAAGCATAAACATCCCGGCACTGAAAACAAAATGTTAGAATGCCAGTACTTACACTTGTATTTAATTCTAGCTGCAAAAGACAAGGAGAAGAATAAAGAGAAGAAATTCAAAGAGTTTGTGAGGCTGAAGCCAAAGAAGAAAAAGAAAAAGAAAAAGAAAACCAAACCTGGTAAATTTTCCCCTGGGGCGTTTCACTTGGATTTCCTTACTGTAGGTAGGGAGGGGTTGCTTCTCCCCAGTCTTGGCCTCTCGAGAGAGGAAGGCCAGCAGGCCTTTAATGGAGCTTGTGGGCTCAGCTCACCCCACGTGCTACAAGGCCACATTGGCATTTGGAAAGCCCTCCCTCTTGCTGTGTTGGCTGGTGTGCTCTGTCACGATGGAAGTGCCATTGTAGGAGAGGATATGCAGGTGAATGACTGTATTTGTCTGCACACACATCTCTGAACCCTTTCAAGAAAGGATTCATTTCTTGAAAAGCGTGTGTCTAGCCCCAACAAAAATGCTGATTTTTAAGAAAATCAGTGTTCCAGTCTTGGGAGCTAAAGGGATTCCACATTTTATTCTCAAAGTATCTTCTGGCTTAGAAGAGCAATCTTATCAGCAAAAGGGGAGAAGGGTGATGGTGAGGAAGAAGCTTTTTGTTTTGAGGTTTTTGGAGGTAGCTAGAAGTATTAATCCCTAAATCTGTTCTAGCTGAATTGCTTCTGAGCATTTGAGCTCTCTGAACAGCAGAGCTGTTGGTTGGATGGGGTTGATTCTGGAATGCCCTAGTGATGTCTGAGGGTGCTAATTTCTTCCTGATCTTGTTCTTCCAGAATGCCCCTGCAGTGAGGAGATCAGTGATGCCTCCCAGGAACCTTCTCCACCCAAGGCATTTGCTGTCACAAGGTGTGGGTCCTCACACAAGCCCGGGGTCCATATGAGCCCACAGCTCCATGGCTCAGAATCTGGAAACCACAAAGGGAAAGTGAAAATGTCCGGTAAGGAGGCTCTGCTGGCTTGATCATTTGTACAGCACGGCAGTCTGAGAAGGCTGGATTTATGTTGATATTGTAATCTACTCTCAGGACTTCTGCAAGTAGTCTGTTAGGTCTTTTAAACAAGAAGTACATCAAATAAATAGGCCTTTAGCTGTACCTTCTCAGAACTTCCCTTCTCTCCAACTTTGGTTCTTAGTAGAATGTCTCTTAGGTACCTCTAAGCCAGTGTGTCTATAACCAAATCCATTATCCCCCAACTCCTTGCACACCTGCCCCTCCTGTTCCTCCATTTCTTGTTGGTGGCCTCTGCATCTAACCTGGTTGCTTAGGGAAATCTGAGTCAACCTTGAAGTTTTCCCTTCTTTAGCAACTTATAGGGTGATTGTGAGTTTAAAAGTAGTTAATAAGTGTGGGCTTCCCTGGTGGCGCAGTGCTTGGGAGTCCGCCTGCCGATGCAGGGGACGCGGGTTCGTGCCCCGTTTCGGGAGGATCCCACATGCCGTGGAGCGGCTGGGCCCGTGAGCCATGGCCGCTGAGCCTGCGCGTCCGGAGCCTGTGCTCCGCAAATGGGAGAGGCCACAACAGTGAGAGGCCCGCATAACGCAAGAAAAAAAAAAAAAAAAAAAAAGTAGTTAATAAGTGTATGGAAAGTACTTAGTACAGTGTCTGGTATAGAATAAGTGATCAGTAAAGGTTAGCTGTAATAACCACAAATCAGGTACCAAGATCTAGTGATTCTGGTTCTGATTATCCCTGGAATCTGCCCCTTCCTCATTCCCCACTGTTTACAGAGTTTTAAAGGTGGCTGTGGATACAGACTGGGCTGTAAGCCAGGTCACGGCTGGGTGGGGTGAGGTCAGGGAACACGTTTGAGTCGTTAGGGATGATGATCTGTGTGGCTCATGTGGAGTTGCAGTTTCTCTGCCAGTGAGCTCTGTGACCTTGAGCAGCCATTGACTGTGGGCTTCACTGTTAGGAAAATGAGGAAATGGAGTTCAGTTCACTGCCGGGCAGCACATATCATTCGGGCTGTTAGTAGATGACAGGCCTGAGGAACAGATTGGAGTTCGTGTTTCCCAGCTCTGTGAAAGTTCACAGAGGAGAAGGTCTGTAAGGTCATTTCTACTCTTGACAATCTAGGGTTTTTTAAAAATCTTATAACTATAATTTTAAAAAGTGACTGTTGGGCTTCCCTGGTGGCGCAGTGCTTGAGAGTCCGCCTGCCGATGCAGGAGATGCGGGTTCGTGCCCCGTTTCGGGAAGATCCCACATGTCGCGGAGCGGCTGGGCCCGTGAGCCATGGCCACTGAGCCTGCACGTCCGGAGCCTGTGCTCCGCAAATGGGAGAGGCCACAACAGTGAGAGGCCCGCATAACGCAAGGAAAAAAAAAAAAAAAAAAAAAAAAAAGTGACTGTTGTTTTCCCTTTCTTCTCAGAAGAAGATAATCTGAGTGACTCCTCCTCCGAGAGCTTTCTTTGGAGCGATGAGGAGTATGGCCAAGACGTTGATGTGACCACTAACCCAGATGAGGAACTTGATGGGGAGGACCGTTACGATTTTGAAGTGGTCCGCTGCATCTGTGAGGTTCAGGAGGAAAATGACTTCATGATTCAGGTAGGTGGAGCTTCCAGGAGACACAGGTATAGAGGAGCACAAACTGGTCCTTGGAGGGAATTTTGAGGGAATACAGTCTGAGGCCAGCAAAAATAATGTCATGTCAGAAGCCCCAGGTAGGCAGTACTGTCAGCAGCAGATTGAGCTTTGTTTACTGGCTCAGCTTCCTCTGCATCTCAGGCTGGTATAAATAGCCTATGAATAGAATAAGAGAGGCCTTGAGGGATCACTGAGTCTAAACCTCTTATGCTCTGCTTGGGCCAGCTGGATCCACAAATGGGAAGGGCCTTGCCTGTGGTCACACAGTGAGGAGTTGAACAGTAGGGGCCCAAATCTCTGGAGGGGCAGTTTGATCTTCCTATGCATCCATATCTTCTCTCTCAGGTGAATTTTCTTTATGGCCGAAAGAGATGGAGGCCAGTTTTATAAATTGTCTGTTTCTTATTCTTCATTTTCTTGGCATTTGTATTTGTCGTCTCCATTTCTGGGATGTGCCTGTTGGGGGGCCTCCCTGCCTGCTTGGGGAGACCATCACTGGCCAGCACCTGCTTGCCTCTGGCCCTTCTCTTGCTCTTAATCACAGTTCTGGTGGAGGTGGCTGCTGCCTGGCTGACTCCAGGGAACCTCAGTTTTTTAAGTAAGTCATGTTTATGTTGGTTAGAATTCTTCTGGGAGTTTCTTTTTTTTTTTTTTTTTAATAGCCTTCATGGCAACCTCTGAGAATTCAAGGTACATGAATGGTCTCAAATAGCTCCTCATATTTATGACCTTTAGTATGCATTAGGTCAGTGGTTTTCAAATCACTTTTTCAGCATCACAAACCCTTTCCCTAATGGACTCTTTTCATAGAACCCGCAAATGTGTAACAGATAAAAGCAGTAGTTTGGGAAGCTCAAAATGAATAATTTTCACTTTTAAGTTCAAAAATGTGAATGGCTGGCCTCTTCCCACGAGCTCTAATATGCAGGTGGGGTTGTGAGCGGTGGTTGCCAACCTGGAGCATTTCAGTGGCTCAGTTGTTTTCCTTTTTTTGTGAGACAAGCCTAATGAACATGGCCGTTGTATGGGGACTTTTCCTAAACAGCATGCTGTGTAGTCACTTTGGTTAATCAGAGATGGGAAGAAAAGCTTTGTTCTGAGGACAGCGTAATAATAAGTTAGCCTAGCAGTAAAGAGTTATGTGTACTGGTGGGCTCTGCTGTCTTAACATATAAGCTTGGAGTGTGCATTTTTTGTTTTGTTTTGTCTTCTAAAATAGTCTCATTTTATAAAACACACCCATGTGTAGAATCTCTGAAGTTCAGTGGAATATAATTCAAAAACTTATGTAACATGAAAACCATTTGTTTGGTTTTTTTTCCCCTCCAGTAGAATTTTTTTTTAAGTTTGGCTTTAAAAGTATGTTGAAGGGCTTCCCTGGTGGTGCAGTGGTTAAGAATCTGCCTGCCAATGCAAGGGACACAGGTTCGAGCCCTGCTCCAGGAAGATCCCACATGCGTGGAACAGCTAAACCCGTGAGCCACAACTCCTGAGCCTGCGCTCTAGAGCCCGCGAGCCAAAACTACTGAAGCCTGTGTGCCACAGCTACTGAAGCCCATGTGCCTAGAGCCCATGCTCCTCAACAAGAGAAGCCACCACAATGAGAAGGCTGTGCACTGCAATGAAGAGTAGCCCTGCTCGCTGCAACTAGAGAAAGCCCACGCACAGCAACAAAGACCCAATGTGGCCAAAAATAAAAATAAATAAATAAATAAATAAAATAAAAGTATGTTGAAGATGGTTAGTTTGCATCCTGTCTCTCTGGGCGTGTGCTCAGTTCTGGGCCTTGGAAGCCTGATTTGGTCCTCATTTGTCCTTAGAAGTCATTAGTGGGTGAGTAATGAAGGCCTCTCTTGGCAAGGCTCTTCCAGCTAATCAGTATAAGAGATGCAGTTCTGATCCACCACGGTACTTTCTCCATTGACTGTTCTGTAAGTGGCAAGGATCATGGGGTGTTTGCGGGGGTAGAGCTTGAAGTGCCATTTTGTGCTCTGAGGAAACTAAGTTTAAAAAAATTGAGACCACACCATTGTTACATGGCAGAGTCAGGAACTGAATTCCATCACCTGCTTCCCAGGCTCCACATGACCTTCCCCGCAGCTCAGCTCAGCACTGTGGCTTCCTGTCTGGCATTGTGGTGGTGACGAGCTCACTTCAGAACACCTTGGGTTTTGTTGTAGAAGACTTCTTTGCTGTCCACTTGTCCAGCTGGCTTTGTGTTATAGAGGGACAGTTTCTGACTGTACCTGTCATTGTGAGCAGGGTACCTTTTTCCACTCAGTAACCTTAGGAAAAGGCATAAATTTAGAGGGAGCTAACTGGAACAATACAGTTTAAAGTTTTAAAATGTATTCGTCTAGTTTTAAATATGTTCCTCATTTAGGAAAGTTCAAATCATTTTTTCTTAAAATAAATTTTAAACTTACATTGATAATTTGCACAACCCTAGAAAACATTTAGAATTTGTTCTCTAGAAGATTACTTTAGAGAAATAGTTTTCTTTGATCATTTTCGTTATTTGGTAGCAGTATTGCTCATGTATATTATTATTTGATTTTATTTACCAGTGCTAATTTAAATCACTGGAAGGTTAAAATCCTACTTAGTAAACATGAATGTTTGAGAAATCTGGGTACCGCATAAAAAAATGAGCATCAGGAAACCCATTTAATATTTAAATTATTTTAATTGCTCTAAGGCAGGTTTTGGCAAACTTTTTCTTAAAGGACCAGAAAATAAATATTTTAGGCTTTGGGCCATGTGATCTCTGTCACAACTACTCAACTCTGCCCCAAGCAGTCAGAGGCAATACAAAAAAGTGAATGACCATGGTTATGTTCATATTATACTTTATTTACCAAAATAGGACTCAAGCTGAATTTGGCCTGTGGGCTGTAGTTTGCTGACCTTTGCCCTAGAGCAACAAATATGTAACATTAGGTGCTGGACCCCAGTGAAAATTGTGTAGCAGCTTTAATAAGAAGCCCATTTTAGAAACTTTATTTGCTTCCCCTGGAGGTAGCCCTTGTCATCTTCTTGCGTATCACTCCAGAAACATTCAGTGGCTAAACAAGCGATATCAAATATATTCTCTCCATTTTTTTCTTTCTTTTTGTGATAAAATATACATAGCATAAAATTTACCATCTTAACCGTTTTTAAATATATGTGGCTTTAAGTGAACTGGCATTAAGTACATTTACATTGCTGTACAACCATCTTTTTTTTTAACACGTTATTTTAATACATAGTGTTTTCAGTATCTTTTTTTCATTTAATAATATATGTTGAAGACCATTCCATTTTCAGATCTAAAAAAGCTTCCCCATTCTTTTTTTTTTTTTTCCAGTACGCGGGCCTCTCACTGTTGTGGCCTCTCCCGTTGCGGAGC